CAAAGAGTGGCAAGAAAGAAGAGGTGCCCTTACACTAAGCACCAAACGCTGGAATTAGAAAGAGAGTTCTTGTTCAATATGTACCTCACCCGCGGCACCGCCTAGAGATCAGTCAGAGCGTTAACCTCACCGACAGGCAGGTCAAGATTTGGTTTCAAAACCGCCGAATGAAACTCAAGAAGATGAGCCGAAGAACCGGATCCGAGAAACTGACCGCCAACCTCACCTTTCTTAGGTCAAGGCCCAGTGGGGAGGGGGCGCCAGAGGGATCGAGAGGGGGCACCGCGTTCCAGGGTCGAGAGCTGGAGGACTGGGAAGGCGGAAACAAAACCTTCATTGCTCTTTGTTTTTTGTTTTGTTTTGTTTTGTTTTCCTGCTAGAATGTGACTTTGGGGTCATTCTGTTGTGCTGCAAGTGATCTGTAATCCTTATGAGTATATATATATATATTAAAAAAACTTAGCACGTGTAATTTATTATTTTTTCATCGTAATGCAGGGTAACTATTACTGCGCATTTTCATTTGGGTCTTAACTTATTGAAACTGTGGACTATCCATCTAACCATCTATCTGTCCATCCATCCAACCATCCAGCAATGTGACTTTTTCATGTTTTTCCTAATACAAAAGTTCTCTGTGTGTGGTTAGCCCATGAACTCATGGCATTTTGAATACATTCAGTACTTTTAAAATTACATATATATATATATTTAAAAAAGATTAAGAAAACCCACAAGCTTTGGGGGGAGGGGGACTAAAAAAGCACATTACAATGTATCTTTTCACAAATGAATTTAGCAATTGTCCTTGGTGAGATGGAATATTGACGACTTATGCCTTGTAGCCTTTCCCTTGTGGTGCATCTGTGGTTTGATAGAAGTACAACAGCAACCTGTCCTTTCTGTGCATGTTCTGGTCGCATGTATCTGCAATAAACTCTGGAAATGAGTTTGCTCCCTCTGCTTTCTGAAATGGAAATGTGTTATGGTGGAAATGAAATGAAAGCCTTTGGGGAGGTCCTCTTATGGTTAAGCTGCCTGTTTGGGGCAGTCGGGTGGGGAGTGATAGGGGGCTGGAGAAGGGAGATGGGAGAGAAAAGCTGAAGGAGGCCTAGGGTGCTGGAATTTGGCAAGGGGGTGGGGAGATGAGTGAGAATCCAGCCTGGGAGTGCAGTTTTCATAACTAGGGGGAAAGGGGAGTCCTCCATCCTCTCCCAACCTCCAATCGTGGTAATATAATTGCACTGACAATGGGTGCAAGTTTTCCTATAGCCGGAGTCTGGTAAGTAATTCTGTGCCCCAAGCAACTTCTCTCAGCTCCCTGTTTGTGTATTTTCTTCTCTTTGGTTTTTGTTGTGTTATTTTTCATGCTTTCAGTGAAATTTTGGTGATTTCTGACTGGGGACCCATCATCGGGAGCTAGGTCGAAACTAGTCTTGCCAACCTGGAATCTGCCGGGCCTCCATTACAGGATCAAGGACACGCAGCAGCTTAGCATGGCATCGGATCCAATTTTTCCCCCCTTTTCTCATCCCCATCCCATCCCAAGCACAAGACAGCCAGGCCCCAGCGAAGCCAAGGTTGGGTGAGTTTTCCCATCCCGCTTTGCCTTGGTTTCCTTGTGGAACAATTTTATGCTTTACCGTTTAGTGGCCCACATGAAAATAATTTAAAGGAAGTATTTAATTATAAAATGCTGCTTGGAGCCACAGTATCCGAGAGGAACAAAATGAAGGAATGGTGACAGAGGAAGAATATGTAAGTGAACATGACTTATCTTGAAGTCCAATGTTCCATTTACAGCCATGACTTGGGAAATTCCCTCTAACTTCTGCAGAATCTCCATCAGAGAGCCCAGATTTATCTAGTCCTGGCAGGAAAAGGAGGAGAGACCTTGGAGGGAAGAGCTGACAGAGAATTCGTTGCTTTAGGTCCTGCCTGGGGTTTCAAAGGGTCTCCAATAGTTTCCAAAAACAGGTTCTTTTATGCACACACACACACATCTTTTTCCCCTAAGAACAATTTGTTAAGGCTTTCTGAGCCTCAGAGCCCTCATCCAGGGAGTGTTTGGGATATTCAGTGTTTATTCAGTTTTAAACTTCCTCCCAAACCAGGAATCTTCCCAAATTCCAAGACAGATCCCTTTAGGGGCATCATTTCCTAGGGATAGGAGAGAGAGGGATCTGAATCCATGGTAGAACGGGAAGGCTGGAATGGATTTGCCCCAGACTTACGTTGGATAGGCAAAAGAAGGGTACTTTTAACTTGGCCATTTCTCCCCGGGATGTCAGAACGCCATTAGTTGTTGGGGGTGGGGGGTATATCTCTAAGGAAAACCTGTGCTGCAGGAAAGGGCAGTCTCTCTGGAACAAAATCAGAAAGCCATTGGGAAAAGCAATCAATCAGGCCATAAGTAGCCATTTACCCCCTTTCTTTCCAGGGCTGGAGGTGGGCTGGGAGCCCTCAAGGGTGCCCTGGGCAACTTGTACAGCGAGGAATATGCCCTCCGTCGCCACCGTCTCCCAGCTTTTGTTTCGCTCCCAGCCAGGCTTCTGAGGCTTTGTACCATGGATTTGGGAGTGACAATGGGCATTTCTCTCAGATTCAAGGCTGCCCAGCCTTACTTCTGGAGGCAAGGGGGGAAAATTTGAGATGGCCCAAGGAACTGGCCATCCAGCTGGATTTTTCAGACTTCTTCGGATCCACTCAGAGGCCTCTAAGTGCGAAACATGCGAAGCAGCCCTGCCCAGGGAGATGCGGTTCCCGCCGGCCTCACTGAGGCTAGGCCAGCGCTGCGGGCGGGACTGGCATTAGGGTTCTCCCCTCTGTGGCGTGTTCTTTTCCAGGGTCTTTCCGCAGCCGCGGAGAAGACAAGGCACCCTAGCCGTCCCAGTCCGCGCCCAGCGGATTCCACCGCCCGCCAGCCCGGCCCTTCCAAGGGCGCACAGAAGCCCCCGCCGCCGCCTGTACCACCACGCCGTCTGGCTGGGCCCGGCCCTCTAGCCAGGACGCTCCGGTTCACCCCTTGGGCCTCGGCGTGTGTCTAGCCTCACGTCGAGGGTGTGTGTGGCTGCGCGGGCGTGTGTGAGTGTGGCAGGGGGAGGAGGCCTCCGAGCTGCTCCATCCGTCCGTTTTATTAGGGACACATTAATCTATAATCAAATACACCTCATAAAATTTTTATTGAAAGGCATAATATCATTACAGAGGTCTTCCACCTGTTTTAAACAACACGACAAGCTGTGAGAGAGCGTGTGTGGGTATGTGTGGGGAGGGGTGGGCTTAGGTAGGAAGAGAGGCGAGGGGAGAACAGCTCCCCTCGGGCGCCAGGGGGCCGCCCTGAAAGGCTCGCCTGCCTCGGGCGGCACCGGCCCTCCGCGCCTCGGGCTGCTCAGGCTCTGGCCAAGCGCTAGGTGCGCCCTGGACGCACGGCCGGCGGCTCAGAGCCCAGGAGCTGGGGATCCCGGGTCCGGGTCAAGACTGCAGCACCCAGAACGGCAAGAAGAGACGAACAAATAGTCCCCAGCGCCTCCTCCGGCCGCAGTTAGGCCTGTGGTTCCAGCCACCGCCGGCCAGGCTGGGCCGGCCCAGGCCGAGCGGGCTCAGGGACCTGGGCCTGCCGGCTCTAATTGCGGCGCTTATGTTGATGATGATTTTTTTTTTTTTAAATCACAGCAGCCCCCAGTTTAGCGGACTGATTTACTCCCGGTATTGGTAAATATGATCACGTGGGCCGCGCGACCAATGGTGGAGGCTGCAGCCTGCGAACTAGTCGGCGGCTCGGGCGCCGGCGGGGAGCGGCTTGGCGGCGGGCAGTGTAACCTTGGGTGGGAGCGCGCGGTGCCTCAAAATGTCCTCCAGTGGCACCCTCAGCAACTACTACGTGGACTCGCTCATAGGCCATGAGGGCGACGAGGTGTTCGCCGCGCGCTTCGGGCCGCCGGGGCCAGGCGCACAGGGCCGGCCTGCAGGTGTGGCCGATAGCCCTACCACCGCTGCTGCCGAGTTCGCCTCGTGTAGTTTTGCCCCCAAATCGGCCGTATTCTCCGCTTCGTGGTCCGCAGTGCCCGCCCAGCCCCCGGCGGCGGCGATGAGCGGCCTCTACCACCCTTACGTGCCCCCGCCGCCCCTGGCCGCCGCTGCCTCCGAGCCCGGCCGCTACGTGCGCTCCTGGATGGACCCACTGCCGGGCTTCCCCGGTGGCGCGGGGGGTGGTGGCGGCGGTGGCGGAGGTGGAGGCGGCGGCCCGGGCCCTGGTCCCAGCCCCGGCCCTGGCGGCCCAGCCAACGGGCGCCACTACGGGATTAAGCCTGAAACCGGAGCGGCCCCGGCTCCCGCAGCAGCTTCCACCTCCTCCTCCACTTCCTCGTCCTCCTCTTCCAAACGGACTGAGTGCTCGGCGGCCCGGGAGTCCCAGGGGAGCGGCGGCCCCGAGTTCTCGTGCAACTCGTTCCTGCGGGACAAGCAGCAGCAGCAGCGGCGGCGGGGGGATCGGGGCCGGGGGTAGGGATCGGGGCCGGGCCTGGGGCGGGCGGCTCGTCGGAGCCCTCGGCTTGCAGCGATCACCCAAGCCCTGGCTGCCCGCTGAAGGAGGAGGAGAAGCAGCATCCGCAGCCGCCGCAGCAGCAACTTGACCCAAGTAAGTGCAAAAGAAATTGCCCCCTGATTTATTGCTGAAACCTGTAAGGCTCGAATGTGCAAAACTGATAGTTTTACTAACCTATAAAAACGTCTAGACGCCTACCCAAGCCTAGGCGAGCAACACGCATCCATAAAAAAGCTTCCCATAACCACCTAGGCGCGCGGTTTGTACGGTAAACAGAGCGCGGGCATTAAGGCTTTTTATGATAATTCCCTCCAAGTTGTGAAAAGCGGCCATCCTTGGTGAAATTAATTTAACCACCTCTCTTCCCCACCCTGTCATCTCTCCCTGCCTCCCCTCCGCCCTCGCTCCCCTTCTGCAAACCCCCTCTTCGTAGACAACCCCGCAGCGAACTGGATCCACGCTCGCTCCACCCGGAAAAAGCGCTGTCCCTACACCAAATACCAGACGCTTGAGCTAGAGAAGGAATTCCTCTTCAACATGTACCTCACCCGAGACCGGCGCTACGAGGTGGCCAGGATTCTTAACCTCACAGAGAGACAGGTCAAAATCTGGTTCCAGAACCGTAGGATGAAAATGAAAAAGATGAGCAAGGAGAAATGCCCCAAAGGAGACTGACCCGGAGCGGTTTCGGCAGCAGTGCTCAATGGCATCGGTTTTTTTTTTTTTTTCTTTGTGGGTGCTTGATTTCCAGAAACTCTCCAGCGACTCAGACTTTTCTTCTTTTTTCTTTTTTCGGTAGAAGTGACTGTGTGGTTGGTCTCTGTGAGTTATTTGGGGGACACAGTGTTTGCTCGCTTATGTGTTGGAGAAACCAAGTGGCTTTGGAGTTTAGCCCTGTCCCACTCTCTCCCCCTTCCTGCTCTGTTCCTTCCTTAGGAAATGCTATATTTTGTGAGTGCACGCTGGCTTGAAGAGCCATCTCCTGTGTAAATGTCCCCCATGTTTCTGAAAAGTGCTGTAGCTTAGCGCCCCCCCATCAGCGCCTCCCAAATAGGGCCAAGCGCGCCCCAATTCCGAGAATCCGAAGGCAGAGCGAGACACTGTGGACACTCCCGCTGTTTACCCAGGCCAAGGCTCGGCCCCGTTGCCTACCGATTGGAAAGTCCCCTTTCCTCAGGGAGCCCTCAGGCCCTCTCTGAGACCTCAAGTGAGGCCTAAAGGAGCCCAGGGCCTCGGGCGGGTCTGGGGTTTGTTCTTCGTGCATAGGAGGAGCTGCTCTCTCCCGGGAAGGGCTGGGCTCCTGTCGGCGGCCTCGGGTGCTGGCCCTCCCGGTTCCTGCCCGAGGACGGTTGTAAATGTTACCGCTTCCTACCAATAAATGCTGATCTGATCAAATGGTGCCCAGACCCTGGCCCTCAACGTGTGTGACTGCTCTGTCTCTGCAAAATACCTCACCTGACTTCTTCCCATCCCTGGAAGGGAGACCTTGTAAACATTAGGGGCCTTCTACCTGGCAGGTCTCTCTGAGCTTCCCTTTGTATGTGCAGACTGGCTTGGGGCTCAGTCCATGGGGGTCTTGGAGCTTCCCCCATCCCCGTGCCAGCGCCAGGGTGAACTCTGTGCCCTGGGCCCAGAGTTAGAATAGCAGTAGCGCTCAGCAGAGCTGGCGGCTCCAGGAACCAGGAACCCTTTTGCTATAGGCTTTGGTACACCTCACCCCATGCCTCTCTAGGATCTTGGAGCCCCAGCCGCCAACCTCAGTCTCCAAACAAGGGAAAGGCCAACTCTGCACTCTGGAGCAACTCCCCCAGCTCGGCGGAGCTGGCTGGCTCCGGGAGGTCCTAGCCGGTTAGGCTGTGAGCTTCCGCCCCTCCCCACCCGAGCCCCAAAGTGACCTTAGCGGATCAAAATGGTCAAGGTACTCCTTTCGGTCACCCTCACCCTGCTGCCCCCTTCCCTCCACCCAGCTTCTGTGTATGTTTAGCCTCCAGCTTGGCCCTCGAGGTCCGCAGTCAGAGGCTAAAATGAAGGTCATTGTAAGTGAGGGTTCAGGCCGAGCACAGCCTTTGCAGGCCCTAGAGGAGGTGGCGGCGCCGGGCAGCCTGGGTTGGGCGGAAGGCCGGGGTGGTGGCAGAGATCTTGGGGATACTGATGAAAGAGGGGAATCGAAGAAAAAGCAGAGGGGGGCTGGGAGGGAAAGCCAAGGCCCAAGATCCGGCAGAAGGTGCTGCGTCCCCCCGCCCCTGCAGCCAGCTCCATACCTAGAGCTCTTTGAAAACAGGAAGAGCCAAGGTGTCATAAAGCCATCGAGCCGGCGAGACGTCTGGAGGTAATGAGTTTACGACAGGCCAGGCGCTTCGCTTTGAAACCATCTCATTTTGATGTTTGTGGGAGGAAAGGAAAAATGCAGACAAAACTGGGTCTTAAAATCTGGACAATAAAATATAAACAAGACTGCGTTGGACCAAGGAGGCAGGGGCTTTGGAACCCCCGGGGGAGGTGTCAGTACCTAGGAAATAAAATGAGAGGTAGGAAGGAGGAGGTGATGTATTTCTCATTTTTAAAATGGGCTGAGCGTTCAAAGTAGCTTATAGCGGGTGACTTTATAATATTTTGACTATGGCCATGATCTAGCTGGTTCTTAAAAAGAAGAAGAAAGACAATAACAACACCCTGTTGCTCGAGAGTAGGGAGGTTAATGATCTTGGGTCATTTACTCATGGCAAGAGTCTCCCAGAAGGGAAAAAATGAAATTCATGCGTCCTCACAAAAATATCTAGACCTGCAGTCCCAACTTCTCTGCAAAAATACTGTAATTTATATCTGTTCACGTAATATACAGATACACCTGAATTGGCGCAAAGTATTTCTGAAAATGAGAAGAAAAAAGAAAAATGCTTAACTTAGCAGGAAACACCTAAGCTGATTTAATAATATTTGCTTTAAAAAAAAAACCAAGTGGAATGTTTAGTAAAGTCGGTTCAGTCTGCGACTTTTGATATAAAAAAATTTAAATCCCATTTATTGTCCATAGAAATTCAAACAAACATAAACCCAACAGGGACTTTCCAGACGCCATGCAGAAATCCAGCAAATAGCTTTTAATTGGACTTCAATTCTACTCCAAATTGTCCAGCTGAAAGGACTTAAAACATTAAAATTAGTAAGTCAAATTAGTAAATATTCATGAATTGAACCTGAAAGTGACAGGTCTAAAAAATAGTTGTATTATTGACTTCTATAATTTCTTCTATACTTTGTTAGTTATCAAAGTGCTTGGCTCTTGTTGAAGGGAGCCTATCCGCAATTGATATTTTATTGTGATTTTTGTTAAATCTATCCTGTCCAGTAATTGTACTTAAAAGTCACAGCTGGCCGATTACAGAATGAAGACCTGCCGTCTGGCAAAAGAAGGACTGTAGTCTTTTGGCAAAGACACTACTGGAAACTCTTGGGAGCGCAAATGAGAATATCCTTGGCACTCAGGAGCCCCTGTTTTGCTGCACTTGACTTGTTGACAATTAAAGAGATGAAACATTATTAGTGTCAGCGGTCCAAGCCCCAGTGAATCTAAAGACAAGATTAGAACTGCTTGGAGGCGAATCTAAAAAGGAAGTTAAATTCGGTCGGCTTGGGATGGCATTTGGTCACTAGAGAGCGCTGTTGCTCCACTTTCTGATCTCGTAAAGCTTAGCGTTGCGGTGGAGGAAGGTTTTGATTAAAAATATTTACAATCTTATTTTTAATCCCAAATTAGGATAAATTTAACCAAAAATAAACAATGGGCACTATTAAATTCTCCAGCCGTGTTTGTTAGGCATAAAATTTTGGCTCAGTCAGAATTTCAGAAAATTTGGACTATGGCACAACTATAAAACATTATAGTAAATTAATGGATTCTGTCGAAACGGAAACGTGTAAAAGCACGGATCTTTATGAAGTTAATCGTGCTCTTTTTCTGCTCAGATTATAAGAGTAATGCTTAAATAAAAAATGTTTAAAACCATGTTTTGTCCCAAAAGGAAATATGCTGTAATGTTTTCTAAATTAGGCCTGAAAGTATAGAAATGAACTTTTAGTATTCATGCCCCCCTCCAACCCCTCGCAAGAAAATCATACAGTTCTAAAAATTGCCTGTGTCATTGATACTTAGGTTTTCTATTGTAATCTTTCCCCATTCCACTCCCAAATCTATTCATTTATCCATGGTTCAAATTCGCGCGGGTGCCCACCCATCGCCACCTCCCTCACCCCCACCCTCCCCCACCTGTGGAATATAAAGGCACACTTACAATGTCAGATCCAAAGCTTTATTGAAAATGTCGTTTTAAATGGGTATTTACAAGATTAGATTAGCTGTCAGAATCACTTGTTACCCTTTGAATTGAAAGGAAGCTACCTGCTGATAATCAGCAGAAAAACAAACAAAAAATCTTGCCCTCTAACCATCCCAGTAACAAAAGTCTTCTGCTCCCTACTAATGTAAAATTTCAATAAAACCTGCCTTTATCAGGTCCAGATTCATTAGCAATCCGTTTACCTTTACCATTTTCAGGCATCCCCCGTAGATACAATTGAGTCAGATGTTACTATCTTGTTACGATTTTGCACGTCGACCTTATTCTCTCCATTTACAAAAATGACATTCAGTCCACCTATACCGACCTCAGGATTCCGCTCACAAAGCCTGGGCCAACAAGCTCTACAACCTACAAGGAATGCAGGGTAGTTGACATCACTGGCCTGTGCGTCTTTGAGGCCGTTTGGGGTTTTTAAAAGCATTTTCATTTGGCGTGGAATGTCGGGGTGGTGTGTTTTAGGTTAAGTGGGAGCGTCCTCGGTGGGCTGGGGCGTGTCTTCAAGGTCTATTCCCAAGGCCAGCGGGCCTGGATTATCCCTAAGGAATGGAGCTCGTTACCCAACGACCCACGGAAAAGGCCGAGTAGGGGAGGAAAACAACACACACATGCACGTCCCATTTATTGGACACTAAAACAAGAGAACAACAAACAAACAAACAAAAGAAGGGTGTGGAGAAGTGGTTGTTGTAGCGCCAGTAGCTTTGGAGAGAGTTGCTAAAAATCAGAGATGTTTCTTGGATTCACACTCGACTTGGCCACACGACTTGCGCTCTTCCTCATCACTCACAAACTAGGCTGAGCGTTCTCTTGGGCTTTTCTTTGGGGGAGAAATTAGTAACTGTAAGTTTAGGCCCTCACCCAGGCTCAGCAGTTATTTCACAGCCTTGGCGGGTGATCTAGAATTGTTAGCAGAACACGGGGGACCGCCTGCAGCTGCCTGGAACCGGTGCTATCCGCTCACCCGCCCTGGAGGCTGGAGGGGGGCACACGGGGTGTCGGCCCCCCCACGCCCCGCCAAGGCCCGGCGCCGGGGTTGGTACCCGGGGGCCTTGCCTGCCCCAGGAAATGCCACCCGCCCTGGCGTCTGGAGCCCTCCTTCCCGCCTAGGAACATTTGGGTCTGCTCTTCTAGTCACTTCCGCAGCAATGTTAATGCCCCCTTCCCACATTCTCCAGCCTCCCCCCTGCGTCTAGTACTGACGTCTATCAAGGGTGAAATGATGGAAACTATATTCATGGGCATGATTTCCATTAAATATCAATTAACCTGGGAGCCTCAGCCAGGCGTGCAGTGCGTCAAGGGTAAATATACATCTCCACAAGGCCCGCTCATCTGGAAAAGCAGGACTTTGATTCGCTTTGATAACGCCAGGATTGGGGGGCCACGTTGTGGCCTTTCATCAACCACTTAAGCCCCCAAAAATGCACGGTCCGGTCCGTAAACATCCCTTGCTTGTCCAAGGGCCCTGGGCTGCGCCCGCGTGTTCAGAAATGTAAAAATCCTTGGCCAACCTCTGCTGGGCAGTTCCAGGGGCTGGGGAGGGGGCGGGTCATTTACTCCGCAGCCTCCTGGGAGTGACCTCCCTGCCTCCCCCAAGTCTAAGGTTCTGCCGCGCCCCCCTCTCTGCGGGCCACAGCCCGCATTCCCGCGCCCGGGGCCCAGCGAGCCCTTGGCAGTGCGGCTTTATGGGCCCCCTTTAAGGCCGGCGGAGGCATCCTTGGGCGGGCGTGAGGCGTCCCGTCGAGAGCCGCGGCCGCCTCGCCTCCGCGTGGATCCCTCCGCGCGGTTATCTCTCCCCCATCTCGCTCCCTCTCCTCGCAGTGGCGGGCTGCGAAAATGCCTCGCCGGCGCTCACCGGGGCGGCATCCTCGGCGGCGGCGAGAGTGGTGGGAGGGGGCCGCGGGGGGGCGAGGTGAGAGGTGGACACGGGCAGAGGGTGTTTTTTTTCGTTTCCCTCCAGAGCGGGGGTTTGTAAACCGAAGCCAAAGAGTATCCCCGTGGGCCGGGCGCACTTTTTTTCTTGTCCCGGTGCGCTAGGGCCGCCTGGTGCCTGAGAGGAAACAGTGGAGGCAGCGGGGCAGGTCACCCGGGGCGGCGGCGATTATATTGCGGCCGAGCCGGCGCGCGCCGGGAGAGGCCAGAGGGCAGCGGCGCGCGGGGGCTGGGCGAGGCCCCGCGACCCAAGAGGGAGGCGGTGCAAGGCCGAGGCGGCGGCGCGGCAGCCGGGCATGAGCGCCTAGTAGCCCAGCCGCCCGGGCTGCCGGGCCTCCGAGGCGACGCGCGTGGGGCGGGCGGGCGGGCGAGCGACAGCAGCGACGTAGCCCGGCGGCCCCAGCGGCGCGAGCGGCCGCCCCAGAGGCCCCCGCGGCAGTGTGGCCGAGTGGAGGCGCGCTCCCTGCTGGCTCCGCGTCGCCCGCCCGCCCTCCCTCGTCCCGATGAGTTCGTACTTCGTGAACCCGCTGTACTCCAAGTACAAGGCGGCGGCCGCAGCGGCGGCGGCTGCAGCGGCGGCGGCGGGCGAGGCCATCAATCCCACTTACTACGACTGTCACTTCGCGCCCGAGGTCGGCGGCCGCCACGCCGCCGCCCTGCAGCTCTATGGCAACAGTGCTGCCGGCTTCCCGCACGCGCCCCCGCAGGCGCACGCGCACCCGCACCCATCCCCGCCGCCCGGGTGCGGCGGTGGGGGCGGCCCGGGCCCCGGCCCCGGCCAGGACTACTTCCACCCCGGCGGGGGCAGCCCGGCCGCTGCCTACCAGGCCGCCCCACCTCCTCCTCCGCATCCTCCGCCTCCGCCGCCGCCTCCCCCCTGCGGCGGGATTGCCTGTCACGGGGAGCCCGCGAAGTTTTACGGATACGATAACTTACAGAGACAGCCGATTTTTACGACCCAGCAAGAGGCCGAGCTGGTACAATATCCTGACTGTAAATCGTCCAGTGGTAATATTGGCGAGGACCCAGACCACTTAAATCAGAGCTCGTCTCCTTCTCAAATGTTTCCCTGGATGAGACCACAAGGTTGGGTTGCATTTTTTTTTTTTAAGAGGGGAGAAGGGGAGAAATCTGCTTTCATCTCACGTTCTAGCTTTAAAACTCCCCTATCCTCTCCCTCTCCCACTCCTTTTCCTTCTTCGGTAGCCACGGTGGCTCTTATTCATAAAGTAATAACAGACTTTTTAAAACAAAAAGTGGAAACCTTGTAAAGATGATTTGGACAGGATAATTGTCAAGACCTTGTCTCTGCTGCTCTTGCCCGCACACCCTGTATATGTCAGATAGCACTGTGCATATGCCCACACTTAAGCCCGGCCCAGAACCCTCCAGGAGTACGCAGAGACACCAGTCACATTTTTTAAACGTTGATTTCCCCCCTCTTTTTTGTTTGTTTTAATCAGCAGCTCCTGGTAGACGAAGAGGAAGACAAACCTACAGCCGTTTCCAAACCCTAGAGCTGGAAAAGGAATTCCTTTTTAACCCTTATCTGACTAGGAAGAGAAGAATCGAGGTTTCCCACGCTCTGGCCCTCACCGAGAGACAGGTAAAAATCTGGTTCCAAAACAGGAGAATGAAATGGAAAAAGGAGAACAACAAGGACAAATTTCCCGTTTCCCGGCAGGAGGCGAAGGACGGGGAAACCAAAAAGGAAGTCCAAGAGCCGGAGGAAGACCGAGCTGAAGACCCGACAAATTAACTCCTACCTTTAAATTTTACCACAGACTGTTAAAACTAGTGATCAACATATGCTGGTGGATGCTTTTCTTTTTCGGAAAGGACCTTACCCGTGTTTCAAGCTACCTTCACGTCACTGCTCTTGAGGTTTCTACGCTTTCAGAGGGATTTGGGTGTTTTAAAGTTTCTAGTATCGCACAGAAGCAGTCCTTGAGTTGTCATATAAAAGGGTAATTTGATACTGACCTTGTAGCTATATTTTTATAATGGTAGTTTCTAATGTCTGAGCTGGTGATTTGCCTCAACAACGTAAACTTCCTAATGATTAGCACTAAGTAATTAAATATAAAATGCTTTATTAATAAATCAAGTGCACTTGAACATTCAAAATCTTTTCTTTATGGTGAGTAAATTAAGTCTATTAATTTTTTAAAAAATTATGCCTGCAGAATATTTACTTTATATTGTTTGATTAAAATGTATTATTTATGTTTTTTTCTTCCTGCTTTTATAATGAATGGTTCAGGTGCCTTTTGTTTACTCCTAAAAGATTTCTTTGAGTGTTTTGTAAATGTCATATATCAGGGAAATGTCTGGGCCAAATGTTGGAAAAGCACATGTTAGCTGAAGAGTGTAATGTACAGTCCAGGCTCTACTGCTTCCTTAAGCTTTGGGAAAATGTTAGGCCAGTGACAAGAGTTTCAGGACAATGTCAAAAGTCTCATTTAATCATTTTCTATAGTCCATGCAAATTATGGCAATTAAATAATCTAGAGTGAATTAATACTTGAAAAACCAATTATAACATTTTCATTAACTTTTCACTCTGGCACGTTGCCTTGCTTTCGTTTTGAATGAACCTCGATTGTAATAAAATCGCTAGGTCTCTGTGCCAGGCTGCCACCGTGATTCTGGCTTATGAGTAAGTGCCATATTTATTTGTATTCCTTTCACTCTGTCCCGCATGCTCCTTTCAAGCCAACTTGCTGTGTGCATCTCAGATGTCGGTTGGTACGTCTTCTGCTGTTCTTCAGGAAAACTATAGCCTCACCTATTTGAACCAAGCCCTGAGAGCAAATGCAGACAACTCCGAGTGTAAACAACCGCTCCAGAACATAGCTAGCTCCTAAATAAAGAAATGAATCTCTTTCTAGAGCTAATGTCTTTGAGCGCCGCAAAAAACTTCTTTTCCCAAGTCACAAACAATGGCCAGGGCTCACAGAAGGCAGCAACTTACTCAAGCCTTCTGTTTGATAAGAACGGGGTGGGGGTGGGGTCGGGGTAACATACTCCATGCTGTTTAGAAAAAATGTTGAAGGCGGGGGAGAACCACTCATTCCAGAGAGGACTAGCTACACTATCCATGTTTCATCTTGCTCTAAATAATCCCAAAATGCTGTTCAAGCTTTGAACTTCACAAAGGACTGAAGTTGTAGGCCCAGTAGGGGACAATGTCCACAGCTCACACCACAGCTTAATTCCACTGAGTCCCAGTTGATGCTGAGGTTTGGCATCTATTATTAACAAGATATCCATTTCCTATTTGAGGCTGCTTCCCCAGCTGCCATTTTGCAGGGGGAAGGGAGAGGAAAGAAGGAAGGAAAGACTGAAATTCAAGTAAAGTAACAATTTTTCCTGAAAATGAAAATGCATTTATTAGGTAAACACAAAGAAGCTGTCTGCTTTTTCTAGCCATGTTTACTTTTAAAGAGGCATATTTTAATTTCCAGAATGGTTTTTATCACACAGGTAAGAAAAAGGGCCTCTAGTTTGGGGCCAGGCTCATCCCCTTAGGTGCTGGTAGGCTGTTTGCCTGCCATTTCATGGACTGGAGAAATGTTGGCACTGGCTGAGTCACAAGCGAAGCACCACCTGGCTTTCTACCCAGGAAAGAGGCTGTGGCTGTGACATTCACTAACCTAAGCCAGGAAAGACAATTTTTAAGTCATGGGTGGCCGAGGCTTAAACATTTGCATGAAAGAAACAGCTGCAAATGCACATGCTGGATTTGGGAACATTTTGATCTGTGCACTGCCTGAGATGGCTGTTGGCTGGTACAGGGCAAGGGTGCCTAGGGCGGAGAATATAGCTGGGGGGCAGCCTAGAGCATAAACTGCCCAAAGCTGGTGCTGGCTGAACTCCAGCTTCCTTTGATTTAAAGGACTCTTCTGTACAACCTGCTGTCTCCCACCCAAGAATGCCCCCCAAATGTCACTCTTAGAGCTACTGATTTTGGCAAAATTCAGTAGATGAGGGATCTACTACATCAGTGGGTGTGGAAATCAAGGAAGGGAAGGTAAAGATGTCATTTTCTCCTTGGCATTTTTTGTTGCTCTGGAAATGTACCTCCAGGACCCACCATGGTAAAATCATAGCTCATATAAAAAATGACTCTTGCAATAATGTGTTCTGAAAATATGAGCTTGTACTTACACATAGATTATACACACGCAGAAAGTGTTGGTTATAAATGTGTATATATATGTGTTTCCTTCAATAGCTGTGAAAGAGCATAGATTTGACACCAGATAAAGACCTTGAGAAATTTCAGATCCATACACACTCCACCTTCTCTCTTACAATGGCTAGACATCCCCACCCCCCATCATGGTGTCTCATGCAGACAGATTAGCAGAGCCAAGCATACACACCTTTCTAATTGGCTCAGATCTGTAAACACGCAAGCATTGCAGCACCAAGCAACATTTTGCTGCAGAAATTTGCATATACCTTCAGATAATCCTTTATAAACTCAGGTGGAGCTTTTCTGCCCTGAACTAAGGCAATCAGCTTAGAGAAAAATATTTTATGAGAAAAAATGTTTTATGAGAAAAATAGGACCCTCTAATGTTAACATTGAAAAAGCCAAGCCTTTGGAGTGATTTAGGATGTGTTTGCAAGAGCCAGAAACACACAAAAGAGAGTGTGAGCTCAAACAGTTGTAGGGAAAAGTCAGTTTGAGGATACCATCTTGTAAGGTCCACAAAGATCAGCACATTGCTTACCTCTGCACAGGAGATTAAAAAAAAACTGCAAATATGGCTGCCTTTTCCATACAAAGTCTCTTTCCAGCCCCCATTCCCCATTCCCCACGATGAAAAGGGAAGGTCATAAACTCTGCTTTTATTTCGGTAGAGTGGGAGAAGATAAAGAAGCAAATTGACTATTGAGATTACTTCTCAGACAATTTTAGAATTGAACAATGTCTTTACTGAGTTCGGTGTTCTGGGCTTATGAAGGCCCAACAACTTGCCGCATTTACTCGTGTAATAAAAATATTGTTTTATTCTTCAGCGCACAAGATTTCACATCCAAGCTCTGTGTCCTCTGCTTCTCTGGTGTTTGCTGTATCCTTGGGCATCTAGGGGTGGACAGGGAAAGACAGACATTTTAATGGACCTTGACCCTCCAGCAAAATTAGGGCCCACTGGCTTTTTCCAGACTTTTGCTGATAGATGGCAACAGAAATTCTTTAATACAAAAAATTCAAGGTCATTGGAACTTTCTCATGGGATACAAATGTCCTGCCTGGGAGGATTTCCTGTTTAAGCTGGCGTCCACTTATGTACTTAACGAGTGAGATGTTGACAGCAGAGAACTTACACACAGATACAATGCAAAACTTATAAGCATATTGTTAGAAGTCCACAGATACTCTCTGAAAGGACTGGGGCATGGTGGCGGGGATCTCTTTCAAACAGGTCCTGAAGCCTGGATGGGCCACTCCCATGAGGAAATGCTGGAGGCCAGACAAGGACACTTACTCTCATGTGGAGTTCACCAGAACAGTTCCTGTGGAAAATGCAAAGGAAAGGTGACACCTACCTTTAAGGAAAAAGAAATATTTTTTCTAGGCTGGTTGTGCATAGTCACTCTTTTACTGAACAATGGAGCCTCTCTCCAGAATTGCCTTGAGGAGGCTTTTCAATGGGCAAACACTGGGGCAGAGGGAAAGAATGGAGATCTAGAATTAAACTCATTTAAAAACAAAATTGCTCTTAGAGGGGGACCTACAGACGTGGGTTTTAAAGGGGATCAGAAAGATTACTTCTCTTCCAACTTCAAACTGCTCAGGGGGATGTTTTATGAAGATAAAGACTGACCGCTCAAAATGGTGTTTTGGAGAGATTGACAGGTACCTAAAGCCATTTCCGGCCTTCCTAGGTGTTTGGTGACTCTCCTACCTCAGAATCCAGGAAATGGAAGAGACCCCAATTTATGTTGGAGAGCAGTGGGAGGGGAGGCAGAATGCCTTCTTGCGGAGCCCAGGTTTTCTGGAGAAGATTACTGGGGTTGGCTTGCCCAGAGGGTAAAAACCCAAAGTGCTTGGCTGCCCTTCAGACAAGCCTTTTGAGGAGGGGAGGGGAGGGGAGGGAGGGGAGGAGAAGCCAAGTGACCAACGTTAGGGGGGGACGCCTTGTGTGTGTGGGGGGGTGCGCTGAACAGTACCCGCACTTAGCTCTTGTGAGACCCCCCCCCCAAAAAAACCCGCACATGTAATTCCTAGAAAAGTGAAATACGGAGGGGAGGGAGGGAGAGAGAGAGAGAGAGAATGAGAATGAGAATCCGGAGGCAAGAAAAAGGGAGAGAGACAGAAAGAAAAGAGGAGGGAATAAGGAAGAGAGGAGAGGCAGAAGAGCGAGAGAAGAGAGGAAAAAACATGGCGCTTGCGAGCTGTATGTGCAAAATCCGCAAGGAATTGCAGTAAATTCCTTTTTGTTTGAAGAAAATTTACAACTTGGTAATAGACCTTTTTATGACCTATTTGCGGTCGTCATTGGCTGCGGCTGGTCATGTGCAGGCGCCGCTCGCCTTCACGGCCTTTTTCCTGATTTCCCAGGCGAATTTCCCCCCGCATTCTGCTTTCCCAGAGCCTCACCCCCTCTTTTTCTAACCTTTGTCTCTGCAGAGGTGGGCTCCAGTCGCCGGCTGCGGAATTGCGGGGTCTGCAGCGACCTCGGCTCCCGCCCGGCGCCCTGCCCGACCCCACCGACGCTCGCTCGGGCTTCGCCGAAGCTGCCTCCGGGGCAGGAGAGGAGCCCGGCGGGGGAGCCCGGAAGGAGCCCCAGGCGCCGAGTCCCCCGCCGGTGCTGACACTGCCTGCCCGGAGCAGCCGGCCTGCTCCTGCTCCGGTGACTGCAGCCGCGCGGGGCCGATCGGGTGCCTTCTCCAACATGAGCCAGTCCTGGCCACTGAGGGGGTGCGCAATCCGGCAGCGCCTAATGGATTACAGCAGCCTCCCGGGCCGACCGCCGCCTCCAACTCGGCAGCCTCCGGGTAAGAGCCTCCCCTCCCCGAACCCCGAGCGCCCCAGCAGGGAGCTGGAGGCGCCGACCGCCTCGGGCAGATCGTCAGCTCGCCCGGCTCCCTACAATTCTAGGAACCTGGGGGTCGCTGTTGGCGCCTCTGCTTGCTAATGACTCCA